CTAAGCTTGTTCCAAGTAGGTGCTTTAGACCACTGAGCCATCTCACCAGCCCCTGGTCCTTCATTTGTATCCCCCTTTTTTTGTTTAGTTTTGTCAGAGATGGATATTCCCTTGCCATTTAACTATTATAGGTGCGTGAATTCAGGAAATAAAAAAAATATGGAACACTTCACAAATCTGTGTGTCATCCTTGCTCAGGGGCCACACTAATCTTCTCTGCATCACTCCAATTTTAGTGTATATGCTGCTGAAGCGAGCACCAGTAGAGCCTTTTGAGGCCTGGGTGAATTAAAAAAAGAGAAAACACAGAGGGTTGTTCTCATTTTATGGAATTAGAAAACTCTTTTAGTAAAATTCTTTTGTGCAGCTGCTACAATGCTAGAAAATTCCTTGTAGATTTCCTGATGGCTTGCAATATTGTCTGGAAATATTGTTGAATTTTTTAAATGCAGTTTTAGATTTGGAAAATACTTCAGTTGCCACTTTCAAGGTCTCTGAAAAATAACAGTTTTCTCTCAAATGTTTTGCTATCACAAAACATCCTTTCTGCTGTTTCCCTATTCCTTGTAGTTTTTTGCTCAGTGCATTGAAGTGAAGTATAAAAATCTGTAAAAAACACGAGGTTGTTAAGCCAAGCCGTTTCAGTAGCTGTGGATGTTGCTGCCCCTTTTCATTCATAAACAGCCTAATTTCATCCAAGCATTGCCTCATCCTTTGCTCAGCCATGGACCTTACTGTACATAAGTAAAGCATTGTACTGTGCCTGATCCTCATCCAGAAGCATTTGAAACTTGAAAATTAAGATGATGTAATTTGCCGTTTTTGTGACATCTTTGGGGATATCATTTAATTTTTTACCTGGCACAAAGAGCTTCTTGATGTATAGTAGAATGAAACGGAATGACTGGGTATTTTACTTCTTTAATAATAACCTGCAGAAAACCAGCTGTTGCCCCCACATAGCAGTGCCCTGACTGGTCATTTGAAAGCTGAAATTACAACAATGAGTGGCAGCTTGTGATGTCATCACCTAGGATCACCATGCATTTCTGAGCCAGCCCAGGGCCCTTGTGTGTGTTGTTATCCAACATTTGGCTACTGGGGTGATGCTGAGAGTGACCTGACTCAAGTACCAACCGAGAGGGCTCTGTGTGCCCGTTGCAGAGTGCATGCCTTGGGTTCATCACCACTGAAGTAGCATATATCAGTGCTTTGTTCTTCCTTATGGCTGAACATTTATTGTACGTATAATAGGAATTTGTATGTCCATGCATCCTTTGGTGGACACTTGGGCTCTTTCTACCTTTTGCCTATTGAATGCCATGTTTAAAATCAGATGGAAGAGGACAATGTGACAGTGGATATGATAGCATATAAGCACATAGCAAGGGAACATGGCATTTTGTCTCATCTCTGGGAGATAGAGAAGAAAGTTCCTCTTGCTGACAGGTCAAAATGGCTTTGTTTTATCATTTTTTTTTTTTTTTACTTCCTTTGCTCTCCAGTTAATGAAACAAGGCCTAATATTCACTAATTAGCAATATTTTCAACTTGGCCTTGCTTCACAGTTAGCATTTTTATCAATCCTCAGTAGTTCAGTAGAACAAACAGTTCCTTTAATTTCTGTACTTTCCTTCCACAAAACATTTATCTTTATTTCAATAGAGTTTTTTCAAGTCATCTTTTCTCAAACAATTCTCAGTGAAATTCTACAAATCAACCATGTTTCCTGTCACTTAGGGGACAGAAAGTCAAAGCCAGAGGAAACCCTTAGGCATCAGTTTCAATTCCTCTAATAGCAGTAATTTTTCTGTCTGAGGCACATACTAAGGCTGTACCACGAAGACCTTTTTCTTGATGAAAAATAGGAGCTGACCTATTTTTCTCCATTAAATTTTGATATGTTCTTTTCATTAATTTAAAATACCTGGACTCAGCACTTTTGAGATTTTTATTTTTCTGGCTCAATGGAGAAATGAAGCTTGGTAGGAACCAGTCAAGCAGATTATGAATACAGGCTCTGAAGTAGTTGTTTTGGCCAATTTTGTCGGTTGAGCTCAATGAAACCTTTAGTGAACATTTGTTAGATCATTGTTGCTGTTTTTAGGGATAAATCCTTCAGGAAGTCTGGGTGGGCTTGCAGAGAACAGTGTGACTGTGTCTACTGCCTTCAGAGAGAACCCCCCGAGATCCCATCCTCATACTCCCTGGAAGTGTGTGTCTGCCTTAATGTCTCAGAGACTGTGGTAGTCCCAGAGAGGCACATTCACCACAGGAGAGAAGTGCAGACCTCAGCAACCCGGGTCATTTGCTTTGCTGACTGTAGTCTAGTTTGCAAACTTATTGCTTTCAGGAGATCTCGAATGTGGCCTTAGATATATGGGCTTATGTCAAATTCCATCTGAAAAGTGAGTAGAAATGTTTTCCTTTTTGTTGATAATCTTAGGTTCAAGTTTCCAGTTTTATGACAGATGACAAGAGAAAAATGAGGAAAACAAATATTCTTAAAGGATATAAATAAAAAAGATGCACAGGGATATAGTGAGACATGACTATTTTCTCTTTGTCTCTCTCTTTTTTTCTTCTTTCTTTCCTTCCTTCTTTCTTTCTTTCTTTCTTTCTTTCTTTCTTTCTTTCTTTCTTTCTTTCTTTCTTTCTT